GCCGGTGAAACACTCGGTTCCGCAGCTCAGTACCCACCGGATCCTGCTTGTTGGTGGTTGATGGGTCCTTGGGTGTAACGCGTTCCCCGTCAATCCTTGAAGGGTGAACCGTGAGCTCGGTTCGCACGTTCTCGAGAATGTTCGCGCTCTCTATTGGTGGCTTGCGTAGTAGTAAAGGCACACATACACGCTCGGCCTTAAGGCCTTTGCTCCATCGGCCGTTTTGTTTTCGATTTAGATACACAACCTTTCTTTACATACTAATTTCAAGTAAATTTCACCTTCTTATTCTCCGTCATACAAAACGGCCGACGGAGCAAAGGCCTATTCGGCCTTCGCGCGGAACAGGAGGAGTCTCGGGCTGTGACGATCGATCATTTCCAGCTGACTTCCAAAGCACTCTTCACAAACGGGCTGTCGGACTTCAAACCAGTGCAGACACTGGGTGCGCGAACATGCCTCGCACCAAGGCACAGAACGTTTTCGCCGGAACGGACGCCACCCCTTCCCCTTCCCCCCCAATAGGTCAATGTCGGCCTCGCCCTGAAGATCATGGCCAAGATTTACCCGTCAGAGTCGGCGACAGACGAGAGCTTGGTGAGCTCCGCGGCCATCCTCGGCATGATGGCGGGACAAGTAATCTTCGGAGCCTTGGGCGACTGCCTCGGGCGACAGCTGGCACTCTGCTGCACCCTCCTGGTTTGTGGTGCAGGTATGTTTCACCTAGAGTCAGAATAGGTCAATACAGGCTCTTGAGTGCAACGTAGATTGGCGCGTGCCGCAGGGTTGGAATATGGTGGGATCGATGTGAAGGTGATGGTCTCTCCCGCGGGGACGGGCAGCACAGACATGTCGTTTTATGTTTTTTCGGGTCGAGAAGGAACTGGACATGCTTGCGCTCCTGCCAGGACAGACTGCTCAGACAGCTCCTTACCACCGAAACATGGGAGCGGATAAGATATAGCAATCTTATGGCGAGGTTGTTGTTTTGTTGTTGTTGCTTCTCACATTAGCTCTATATTCCACAAAAAATGGGGAGCCCGTGGTATCAAAACCCGCCACATACGACGCCGCGGGGAAACAAAACAAAAATAGGGTACAATCCACTCGGAGAAAGAAACCAAAATGATAAAATAGGAAATAACAGGTACCGCACCGACCGTTCAAGACAAGAGCCCTCGGAAACCGATCAAAATCAACTAAAAAAAAACAAAAATAAAGGAGGACGCTTCCCACACCCGCCCAAAGAAAAAATTAAAGGGTAATGTACCAGCACCAGGCAGTACATACCAGGGCATGGGAGTAACGGAGCAAACAGGACAAAGAGGCGGCAGATGGGCAGACAGCCAGGTGTTCCTTGGTCAATGTTTTCCCCCCCGTACCTTGGCGATTTTCGATGCCAGGTGCGGCTGGTAGCGCACTCCTGACGTTCGAACACGGCATCATCGGTGGAGACATTTTCCGCCAGCTGCTCTACTGGCGTGTCTTGCTGGGCATTGGCGCGGGAGGGGTGAGCGAGAGGGATGATCTCTATTTCTTTCAGTAGTCTACGCAGCAAAATTGATGACGAAAACGTATGGGATAAAGTATTCAATCCGTGCTTTGGGGTTAGGTTTAGGGTTAGAGATCGGGTGTGCGTGCCCCTTCCCTATTCTTTTTCTAGATAATCATGAAATCTTGCGTAGGCGGTCCGTTTAATCTGGCTGTTGCATGAAACAACAGCAGTGTTGGTTGCTGATGAAATTCACCCCAACCAGCACGGCATTATAAAGTCAACAATACGCGGGCCGCTACAAGGCTACCCGCGAACTGTGTGAACGTTGCCACCGTCCACGATTTCTCAATGATGCTGCCAAAGCCGACCTATCCATTCAACAGCCCGCTTGGTCAGGTCTTTGCCCCCTCCCTCCTGTCCAACCACTCGAAAGAGAACATCAACAAGCGGCACAATTCTCGCGCACTCCCCCCCCCCCCGACCACCACCCTCGTAACCCCTCACCCTAACCAAATGGACCCGAAAAGGTATACCCACTCGCGGCTACCCTTGCCAGAGCCAGCAGAATCAGCGGTCGGTGTTCACGCCTGAACGGTGGCAGCGGTGGCGACGAGGACACCGGCAGCACCTCCGTGGCGCTCATGTTCTCGATGCAGGGGGTGGGTTACCTCGCCGCCCATTTGACCGGGTTCGTCCTGCTGACCGCCTTCCCGGAGCCGTCTTCCCTGACGTGGCGCTCGCTGCTGGGGCTGGGGGCGGTGCTGCCGTTAGGCCTGGCGATCGCGCTCGCGCTGGCCCTCGCACGCGCTCGGCGATACCGGCTCGTGCAATCGTCGCTGGGGGAAGAGGAGGAAGAGGAGGATGCTATGGGGGTGCGAAGGGGTGGTGGCGCAAGCGACGAGGTGCCTAGCCCCGTGCGTTTCTGGCTGGCCGTTCGAGACAAGAGACGGCTGCTGATGAAGCTTGTCGGGACGGCCGGGTCGTGGTTCTTGTTCGATGTTACATTCTACGGTAACCAGCTGGTGAGCTCCCGTAGGTGCTGGCTGTCGACGGCAGAGCCTTTGGCGTTATTGGCAGTACGTTTTGACACGCCCACCGTCACTGCCGTCATCCCACCATCACGATTCTCTCTTCACAGCTCACACCCCAGGCACTGCAAGATGTGTCCGTTCGCGCTCCATGCAAGTTTCGTTGACTTTCCTCTGCCGGGCACAGTTGACGCCGCCTTCCCTGTTGCACGCCGAGCCGTTCGATCGCAGTCCGTGCCACGGTAGACCGTACCAATCAAACGCGGCCCGATAATGGAAGATTGTATGCATCACATCGGCGCACGTCTCGTTGTACAGCAGCGTTTCGCACGCACCCACGCTACTCCTTCTCTGCGCGTGCCTGGTGTTGTCAACGGCATTGCCAACCCCAGTACGAGGAGGACGTCTTGGAGGCGGTCTTCGGCAACGCGGAAAGCCTCCGAGACGAGGCCTCTCAGGACAGCTTGGTGGCTTTGGTGGCGCTGCCCGGGTACTTTGTGGCCGTCGCCCTCATCTCACGAATGGGGCCCAGACGGGTGCAGGTGATGTATTTTCGCTGGTAGTACCGGGGGTAATGACGCCGTTTGGCCCTCGGGCGTGTTGTGTTTCTTCTCATGGGTAGGCAGGATGCCTCGACAACTTCCATCTGTTGCACGCCAGCGGTTGGGTTAGGGCTGCAGGCAGTCCCACCGGTGTCGGGACCACGCCGCCCCCACCCTGAACAAATATTTTCAGACGAACATGCACCATCCTTCCGGGGGTGTTTGACTCAGATCTCGACGTACCTCCCCTGACCCAGCTCCGGTGAACACTACGGAACGCCATGTGAGAGGACTAGCGCGCACTAAAGACCCATGACAAAATATGACCAGAGTAGGGTAGCCCCGGTGCGCACAAGTTTCGGGCGCGCAGCAAAAGGACCGGCCTGCCTCTGGGGCAACACCATGGACCACCTGAAATACCCGGCGCACTCCGTTTCGGCGTCCTTATTTTCCGACGAGTCTAGTTCCTGGCGATACAATCGTGGCGATACAAGTACTGCCTCCTCCTGCACCCTCCGTTTCTCATCTTCTTGTCCATTACCTCCTTCTGTGTCTTGACCCTCCTCGATGTCTTTGAGGCGGCTGATTTGCCACACGGCGTTATTGGTGACGCCTCTCTTGTCCTTGTTGACGCCCTCAGGTCCAGGGCTTTTTGGCGATGGCGTTGCTGTTCGCGGTAATCGGGCTGTCCTTCCATTCCCTTGGCCGCCACGCCGACATCCTGATGCTACTGTACAGGTGCGGCGTTGTGCACCAGCGGTAAGCACTTGCGCCTGATCTGAGTTGTTCAGGTAGATGGCGTTGTCACTGCTCGAGCGCTAGGCGATGCTTCTCTGCCTTGTAGCGACAAGATGACACCCCGTGACCTCTTGAATTGCCCAGCAACATCGACCTAGGTGATGCAAGGGTTGGCCCGGCTAGAGCCATCATCCATGCTCTGCAACAGCAGTGTGATGTGACCCACGGCGTGGTTTCCGTAGTAATTTTTTCCCTTGGACTTCGCCTCGCTTCCGGCCCGTAGCTCCACGTAAGGCTGGGCGTGTTCAAGGTTAGGTTCGCCCATGGCCACCCCACTTATCGATGGCCGTCCTTTTCGTGTTCGTTATGGCTGGGGCTGGGCGCGCCTTAACGGCGCCGTGTCTCCTGCGGTAACTATCGGACGATGACGACGTCACAGCTTGACGTTCTTCTTCAGCAACTTCGGGCCGAATTCGACGACGTTCATGCTGCCGTCCCTCACGTTTCCCGACCAAGTGCGTAGCTCTCTCAACGGGATTTCAGCCGCCGCAGGTGGGCAAGCATCATCTCCGGAGGTGTTCGTTTTTGTTTGTACTGTTTCTCCCTTAGGTCGGAAGGCCTGTTCGTTGCTGCGTGTGGGTCCGACGCCTCGGATGATCCAGTATTTCGACATAACGCCTTTATTGCCAGGCCGCAGCCAAATCACCGCAGGAGTGCACCTATCGAACGGCCAAATTCTCGTCGCTCAGGCCAGAAGAGGCGACGCGAAATCTGTCTCTCTCTCTCTCCTCCCCCCCCCACCACTTGAGTTCTAGGCTATGTACACACGGCGAGCGCCATTAAAAGTCTTGTCGGCATGGACCACAATCGCTGATCGTATGACGTTGGGCTTGTGCTTGTCCCAGGGAAGCTGGGGGCTCTGGCGGGAAGCCTGATGTTTAAGCCAGCGGCGGAGACCTGGGGCGTGGGGCCCGTGCTCGTTGTCTGCGCACTAATCTCCTTGGCAGGTGGGATGCGCCCCCCTACCTGTCGCGCTCCTGTTATCCTCACCTATTCTCTTGAGTGCAACACGAGTAAAGCCATACCATCGAATTGTGTTATTGTTGAAGGTAAATGGACTTTTTTATCGCGGACGGGACGGCCAATTCTCACCTCGTACACGGGTTGCATTCGTTTTCACCTCTCCAAGAAGAGCGTGTGCAACAACAAACGACAATTGGCACCACGAATATATGCTCTTAGTCGCCAGCTTTCTTGTCGACGTTCGTGTGTGTTGGAGGACAGAAGCAGCCCGCCCCACCACACCCTCCGTCTAGAATATGCGAGTACATGTAGGCTATGTTGTTGTCGCTGTCCTGATGTTCGTACCATGTGACACAACACGTGTGTTGCACATGATGGGCGTTGAAGCTGCAGGTGGATGCTCGAGTATTTGGAAGGCGACATGACACGCACCCCGAGAGTGCTGCTACCGCGCGAATCAACACACAGAGGCAACAACAGAGTTGAATATTTTATGATATAGTATATAGTAGGCACCATGCGGAACTACAACATACCTCCACATCATCGTTGTTGGGTCATTTTTTTTTTTGCGCTCGCGTCGTGCGCGCGGTAGGTAGCTTCTTGACCCTCGCGTTCGTGGACAGCGGAGAGCCACAGCCGATCCTTGTCCGTTCCGGCGAATCGGACGACGAGGATGGTGCCCTCAACAGGACTAGTAGTGCTATGGCGACGGAGGGCCTAGAGATGACCCGCGCTGCTTTGAGGTCATCAGCCAAGGTGTCGGCGAGCAGCACAAGAACGGCGGCGGTGGTGGCAAGTAGCGTTGGGCCTGTAGACGGGCTTGAAGGCGTTCGCGAGGCGATGGCAGTCGGCGGTTACAGTGACAGCGGTGGCCCGCTCTCCCCAGGGCCGTCGCGGGAACATCCGCTGGCAAAGCCACGGGGGCGAGGAACGGGCACGGGGATAGGCATGTACGCGAGGGTTGGGGCTAGCGTTTACGGCGCGAGGGATAACGGGGTGTTTGGCCGGGGTAATTCAGCAAACGGTTTCCGGAGAGAGGGGAGTTTTGGTGGGGAGGACGAAGGAGGCTACCGGAACCTGGCGCTCGGTAGGACGGGGGGAGTTGAAGGAGAAATGGAGGCCGGTGACGGCAGCAGGTGGGGCGGGGACAGTGACAACAGCGGGGATAGGTATCACGGCGGCGGTGGTGTCGGGGGGGTCGGGAGTGGGCTTGTCGAGCCTGCTTGAGGGTTTCGGGGAAGGCTTGGGCTACTAGACTATGAAAATACTGTCGGCACACAAGCGAGGCTGTGGGATTTGAGTGCGGGTTTTGTACTTGATGTCTGAGTGGACAAATGTTCGTGCGACTAGGTGCGTGTACATCAACCTTCTGTCCCCTGCGCGCGCTTGCACGGTCTGCGAAAAGCATTGTGTCAATTCGCTCTAGTTCTGAACGCATCAATACGCTAAACATTTTGAATGCGACTTTCACAATCGAACCGATGTGGTGTGGATGGTTTCGGAGCCGTGAGATTATGGCTTCCATCGCCGACAGTTGTGTGCGGGCCTACGCGGAGAAAGCACCGGGGACAATGAAGGCTTGCTCGAGTGCTTGTCGTGGTGTCGGAGTTCTTCCCTCCGCATTGGTGAGACTACAGTTAGCCTCTAGGCTACCCTTGCCAGGTATTTGATGTTGGCAAACGCGTGAATTTGTGCCTTTCGTGTATGTGTGCAGCAACGCTGTGTTTGTGCTTGTAAAGCATTGAGCAGTGTTTGTGTTGTCTCTTCTGTGCGTATTGTAAACCGCTTCGTTTGTTGCTGTTGTTAGTGTGTACCCTGCACTTTGGAGAAGAGTGCAGACCCGCGTCTATCAAAGCACGGGGGGTGTTGGTGGTGTCTTGTCCTGTCCTGTCCTGTCCTATTCTGTCCGGTCCGGTCCTGTTGTTGTTTGTTGTTTCCTGCGTCCGTGCCGTCTTTTGCCATCGGCCTACGTGACCACCAGTGGTGCGCACGTTTTCGCTTGGCATATCTGCAATCCACGAGGTACTAGAGTGTTGAGTAAAACCATAGATTACGCGTTGTTCTGGGCATAAAATTATCAGCGGTGCGCAGATGCTTGGAATTCGGCTGCCTTGCTCGCGCAGAGGTCACGCCTCGACAGTATGTATTGGTTTGAGAAACGTTGAAACTCGCTGCAGGCGTAGCGCTCGATTCAAGTTTGTCTTTTGGAAAGGAGAAAGAGAAATGTCACAGCAACAATGTGGTGTGATTATCCAGACAAAGGGAAGACGAAACGATAGAAACATCGATAGTCGAACATCAACTTTCTTCATGAGTTGAGATTGAGATCTCCTCTACCATGGCCCGAGAACACACATTACGAGGAATGGCCTAGCCGCAGCCCTGGTTGCTACAGTGGTAGAAGCATTTGCCACCTCATTTTTTACCGCTCACTGTCTGTCAGCGACCGTACAGCTAGCAACAAGTTACCGGACCCTCCTTGCCCTTCGCCATGTACGTGCTGTGCGTGCTGAAGCCAGCATCAAACCCACTCGTGCAAAAGCAAGTCTACGAGAGGCTTAGGCTAGCCTTCGTGTTGTCTTGTTGTTGAAGGAGGAGAGCTGAGACACGTCGACAATAGGAGCGCTGTTCCTCAGACCGGACGACATCGGAGGTTTCCACGAGAGTTCCTCGGAGAGTGCTAAAGCCTTGTGTTCCGTGGAGGCGCGGCGGCCAATGGCCTTCGCCAGGTTGGGCGAGATGCTTGTGGACCAGTCCAGCAGGTACTCGTCGTCCGGAACGTCTGCAACACGAGCAACACGGCGAGCAAAACATGGGATCACGAAAGCATGCTTGTGTGTGGACTGGATATCGCGAAGGTGTTGACCGAACCGTGTAGTGTTGTTCGTCGTCGTTGTGTTGTGTGTCGATGCTATTACTGTCTCGGTACTAATGGCGACATTTGTTTGTTGCATCCAGCATCCTTCACGGCATCAAAGCGATTTTCGGTGGTCACAAGCCATGTCCAAACCGAGGTAGACACAGAGGACTCCTGATAAACAGGCCCAGGGAAGAGAAGTGAAAGAGTTGCATTTTTGTAACTCGCTGGCAGAACAAGTCGGAAAACAAAGTTCAGACTGCAGACAAGTGTAGGAAACCTCCAACGAGGAACAACGCTCATTTTTCAAGCTCGGAAGCCGAGTCACGAACAGAAGCTGTCCAATATGGCACCCCATTTCGAGTCTAGGGTGTGTGTGTACCGTCGGGTTTTCTGCCAACCAGATGAATGAACCCTTTCCCAAGTCCTCGAGGCGTGAGTAGGGCTTGAAGATTGAACACAGCAGTATTGCACAACGTCCGACGCACATCCTGCAAGACAGCCCGCTCTGTTCTGGACAGGATTTCCATGTGTGCCCACTATACTACATTGGAGCTCGATGTCGGGGTTTCCCCCCTCCCTCTCCATCTATCGCAGTCGCCTTTGTTGCCATCCGGATACACATGCATGTCTGACCATTTTTTTCGGTGCTGGACCGGTCATCAGGCAATACAAACGACCGCCATGATACTGCTGTTGTAGTTGGAATGGACTCAACTACAGTAGCAGAGTACCTCCGAAGATACGGGGCAACGAACAAAGCCACGTGTGGCTTTCCTTTTTATTCGAGACGAGCGGCCAGGAAAAAAATACTCACAGGGTATAAACAAGCTCGAGGTCGGGAAAAATTTAGGTTGCATAGTACTAGAAACAGCTGAAGCACAACTTTTTTGAGACTCTTCAAAAGCACCAACAACTTACCTTCGTAGTCCCACCCCTCCTCTTCCAACCATTCCTCTTCTCCATCTCCATCTTCCCCCCCTTCCGCTCCCCCTTCTCCCATCTTCTTGTACTCAATCTCGAGGCCCTTCTGCTGGCCAATCACCAGCGGCATCAGCGTCGTGAGGGGTTTGCTGTTGTCTAGTCCCGCGAAGGATGGAGGTCGCCAATCATCGCTCCCATCCCCTCCACCCCCTGTCTCAGCGGTGGCCACCTCGCCTGCCGTGGCCAGGCCTAGGACCACGCGTAGGTTATGAGACATCGCTGCAGTTCGAAGCTCCTTTCGAGTAGAGCACGCCCATCGGGGGGGCAAGAAGGCGACAGGCAAATCGGAAGGTGTTCAGGCGGCGGTGACCGGGTGAGAGTTAGTTCCTGGACAGCACTGTAGTATGGCCTTCCACTCAATGCAAGGTGTACATGCTGACCTGCACCACCGGCATTTTGTTGGGATATACTTTTGATTCACACCGCGAGTCAGCGGAGGGCCGTCTGGCGGCTTGACATAGCAGCGCCTCCATAATAACAACAATCCTCGCTTTCATGGTGGTGGCATTGCAAAAACAAACGCTGGGGCGAAGTGACGACAATTCAATCGAACCAACCCAACAGCTGGTACAAGGTTGACGCATGGGGCACAGGAAGCCAGAAAATTAGGGTACCAACGCAGGTCTTGCGGTGCAGACACAGGAACCTACAGCAGCAGTAGCCGCATTCACTGCAAAATGCACCTCGTCGTCGGAGTCAGACTCCCACCACGCGTGTCCGTCGATAGCAGACGCCTCGTCCCACGAATCTCCCGACCCATCGTCATCAGACCAGTTGTCTTCGCTCTTGGGAGGGAGCTTCGACTCTCGCTTTTTCGGAACGGGCTCGGGGGCGTGCGCGACCTTGACCTTCAGGCAACGGTTAGGTAGTATCGCCATCGAAAGGGCCATTCTTGGGTCAGATACAGACTGTGGTTGGTTGTGCTCACGACCTTGACAAGTTGGGAGATGGAACCTGCTTGTGTACCCCTTCATGCTCTCGCTCGGCCCACATGGTATGCAGAGCGCATGAAAAAGGAATAGCTCGCTCTCTTGAAATTCGCCGTGTCTTCACTTCTTCTCTCTTGGTCAACCAGAAAGGATAGCGGTAGGTTCGGCGTTGGTGTCGTTGCCGCCACCAAGCACATACCGCCCGCTTTGAGCCCTCACTCCGTGAACGCTGCCTCTATGGACAGATGTTCTTTGGAACTGACCTTCAAAACTGGAGGGCCCTCCCGTGCAGCGGCAGCGTCTTCGGCGTCTTTGTCGAAGCTACCGACGGCTTTGAAGACTCGCTCTACGCCGCCGCCACCCGGGGCACCACCCCCTCCTATCGCAACTGCGGCTGAGTCCGCGATTGCGGAGCTATGCTCCAGGCCGGTTTCTGTGGGCGGGACCCACGTCGAAGTGACGCCGGATACCTCTGCTTCTTTGGCGGCTATGACTTCCTCGCTGGGAGTGGCAATAAGACGACAGAAACCATAAGTGGGTACTCAGGATTGCATCATGGAGGAGGTGTAATCCATGAGGAATCCGCTTTCTTGTTGTTCGACCAGTATCAATTGTGACGACAAAACGTACGACTTTTCTCTAATGTACGTGCGCGTTCGAGTCCAAAGGCGGGAGTGGGTCCACCGCACAAAGAGCAACGTAGTAATTCATTCACCACGGCAGAGTTACTTTGTGGGCATGATCCATCGGTCGAGTCTACAGGACGATTAACCCTGAAGCGTGCGTTCCTATGTGGACAAGGGATAATACCTCGTACTACTGTAAAACACGAAACGAAAGCAGCTCAGGGTACCACATTTGAAGTATCACGTGTCACCTTGCGCCGAGCATGCGAAGGATCTCGGGGCTGACATTCATGTTCGCGTAGTCGATCTCATAGTCTTCGCCGTCCTCGTCGTCCTCGTCGTCCTCGTCTAAATTTCGTTGTGTATCAATCAATTGTAAACGAGGAGTTTTTGCACTGACTTCCTTCTTTGTCTAGTTTTTCAACGCGTCTCATGATTGGTTATTATGTGTGTATCGTTTTGTCAACGATGATACAGTAGTTCTCGAACGAAAATAGGGTATCACTGTTGTATGCTACAACACCAATTGCTACTGTCGTATGCATACTTCATCAAGCTGTGCTTTGATCAAAGAATGGATATACCGTCTGTGTGGAATGTAGCATATATATGCAATGTACCCGGATTATTTTTTGTCGACCAAGCAATATCGCCTACTATGTGTATGTTTTATGCAATATATGCATGCTGGTACGATACTTGATTCGTAGTATAATTTGCAAACACAGACGAGATTCTGCATATTGGTTGACGGGAAAACACACAACAGATTACTGTTGTTGCACACCAAAAGGGTGGGTTCTCTTTTTCCGAATTCAATGATTGGTCACCTTGTTCTCTGGCGAAATGTTGTGTTAAACGTCTGTGCTTCGAAGTCATCAACCTATGGCACTGCTGTCACGGTGCCGATATTTATGGGGATTGTGTGTGTACCCCAGCACGTAGCAGCAGAAGCTGACGCCCACCAACGCTAGTCGGCGTGATAGCTCGTGGAGCTTGTAGCATCAAAAGCACAGCAGTACTTCAGTGCAGAAGATGGAGAGATGTTGTAAACACGGCGCTTATGTGGCCAACACAGACAGATACACCCGACAGACGGTTGTAGTCCAGGCAGTATGCCAGCAGCATCAAGGTACGACAAGGACAGCTTAAGTACCCAGACAGTCCGATAGATCACAGAGATTCCAAAGAGTGAGGTCGTGCACCGAACGACAGAACGAGCTACAGACTACGTAGCCTACAGCTCTTAGTTGCTCCGCATCCGTTACCTTCCAACCGATACATAGATAACACATACGTCATTCGTCAACATAAGCAGTAGTACTGAACATTGACTAAGACAGGAGATGCGTAGGCATTTCCATAACACTCCCCTTCAATGAAAATTGTCTGCGATAACATGCGAAATTTGATGACCGTTTCATGCGAAAAAAAACTGCCAGCAATATCTGGTGAAATGAGTGTACACAAATAGTCTAAATAATATAATACAGATAGATCACACCGTGATTCAGCAGAGTCATTAGCTACACCCCAAAGATCCTGATGAGGTCGAGTACAAGACGAAGGCGATGCTTGCTCAGGAGTTTGGTTCCGATGTCGGCGAGTTGATGATCCGTAGAAACGTAGTGGATGGTGATTGCGCCTTCCTTGACCAGCCCTCGAACATAGAAGAAACGTAAGGCGATGTGTTTCGTACGGGAACTGTAAGCTTGATTCCCGATGACGTGAAGGGTGGCCGTGTTGTCGATGTACAAAGGCACTTGACCGAACTGCTGTCCGAACCCTAACTCAGTCATATTAGAGCAGAACACTGCTTCCTTTATCGTTAGAGCTGCAGCCACCAGCTCCGCCTCCGTGGTCGACATTGCCCTTGAGCTTTGTAGACCCGTCTTGAAGCTTACGGGAGCCTTCGACACCATGATCATGTAGGATGAAGTCGACTTCGAATGATCAGGGTTGTTACCCCAGTTGACATTCGAGAATGCGGTCAGTTTGAAGCCTCCTCGCTTGTACGTGATGCTAAAATCCGGTGTTCCGGCGAGATACCGCAGAAGATGCTTAGCAGCATCCATGTGCACCTTCGCTGGCTTGGACATCGCGCGCGCAAGCTGGCTTGCACTTAGTACATGACATCGTACCTAGTTATCTGAGCGAGATACATGATCGATCCGGTNAGATGCTTAGCAGCATCCATGTGCACCTTCGCTGGCTTGGACATCGCGCGCGCAAGCTGGCTTGCACTTAGTACATGACATCGTACCTAGTTATCTGAGCGAGATACATGATCGATCCGGTGATGGCCTGATAACAATGCGTTTCCTCCTTGTTCAGAAGGGTCTCGGTAGGCTGCTCCGTGGATAGCTCCGAACCAAACCCTGGAATAGTCGTGGGCTTGCATTTCTCCATACCAGACCGCGCAAGAATGGACCTTGTGTAGTCGGCTTGTGTGATGTTGAGCGTTCCATGTTCACGATCACGAGTGACCTGCATTCCTAGCACAAATGACACATTTCCCAAATCACTCATTTGGAACTGCTCCATGAGCTTCTTCTTAATTGCTTCTATTGATATCACTTCGATGTTTCCGCCGATGAGAAGATCGTCCACGTAGAGGGTGATGATCACAACCGTGTTGTTGCGCTTGTAGATGTACACGCAGGAGTCTGACTTGAGTGGCTTAAACCCAAGTCCGATGAGTTTTGGATCGATTGTTTTCCACCAGCTCTTTGAGCTAATCCGTATAAACTCTTTCCAAGCTTCATTACAAGCTTCTCTCCGTTTGCGTTACTGGCTTCGAAGCCAGGTGCCATCTTCACAAACACGTCCTCCTCTACGTCAGCATAAAGAAAAGCAGTTTTGACGTCAAGTTGACGTACCTCCCAGTCCATCTCAGCAGCAATGGCAAGCACCATCCGCACACTTTGCAGTCTGCAGACAGGAGCGAAGGTTCCACCGCAATCCTTTCCCGGAATTTGATTCCAGCTCTGGGCTACCAGTCCCGCCTTGTACGTGCTGTCGGGCTTAACCTTGAACACCCACTTAGAACCAATGACATTTTGGTTCTCAGGAACTTCAGATAGGGGAAAGAGCGTATAAACTTTTAGCTCTTGATACGGAAGTCCTCTACTCTGGATGAGCGGAGAGTCCGGGGTTGTGGTGGCTATGTCCTGCCACCGGAGGTTGGCTATTTCCTTTGGTGCAATGTGGCGAGGGATGCCAAGCGTGACCGAGCGAACTCAGTCAAGCTAGGGTGGTACGGAGAGTGGGCGAGCCTTCGTGGACTCATTTCCCATTCTCCTAAAGAACCATCAACTCTTCGCAGCCGTTGGGGATCACAAGAGTTGTGGACCCTCGGCGAACAGTAATCTATTATCACATATTCCCTCAGATCCTACTCTTTATGTACGTGTATCTGTGCTCCCTGAATCTCCATATCCTGACCTCCACATAGCCCCCCATTTTCTTCGCCGAAAACTCAGCTTGTTGAAGTTGAGTTTTGGCGCACATGTATGTTTGCATGTTGCTTGTAGTGGAGCAGGTATGGATGTGCCATTGGATCCAGATACAGCTTTTCGAAATTAAATCTCTCCCTCACTATCCGAAGACAGCTGACAGTGCCGTGTGGAATACACACGTGTTGGAACAAACACCGTGTTTCATCTCTCCAAGGCTCGTACAAGCTACCATGTATTGATGTCGATCAATGATGTGTCAAAGCTTATTCTTGTTAAGTATCAAGAATTTGTACCTTGTGCGGGTCCTGGTTCGCGTAATCATACCGCTGGGTGTAAGCAATCGTGTTGCTTATTGAGTACGATAGGCATACGGTGTTCGACAGTCTTAAGACTGTTTTCGTGACTCATGATTAGTGTCATCTAGTTGCGACCCTCAATTCCACTTGAGACCGGTTAACTTGACATTTCCTCGCCAGCATTTGACCTAACCAAATGCTGAAGAGCAACCTTATTGTTTGGATGCTATTCCTTTTACCATTTAGACACTTTGAAAATGTACTTTTTGTTTGCCTTCGGACTTCGTTTACTTTCCCGCTGACTACTTGTCTTGTTCACACATTTTGCTGGCTTGGTACACAACGTGTTTGGCCTTGCTTTGTGCTTTGCGCGTTTGTTTGTACTCGGATCCCTACCTTCGTCGCGTTTTTGTTTCACTTTTTTCTGCGGCACTTCGGACGATGTCTTGGCGGGCGCGATGTCCAGATCATGTTTTGATCGGTATGCGGAAATCATTTCGTGGCATTGCGGCACTTCATCGGCACGATACATCAGATCTGATTCAGGACCGTATCCTTTCAGTCTTAGACGATATCGATAGTTGTGCGGACCTTCTCGGCCTTGACCGCTTCGATGCCCTACCACTTTCAGTACGAGGTACCTTTCAATTTTCGGTTGGTTTTCGTCGTTTGCTGTCAGGGCAGGTAAGGGAATTTGTTTCCGAAGGAAACATTCCGCCAGTTTTCCAAACTGTGGTGCTGGTGGTTTTTCCCTTTCATGGTACTGTATTAGATGGGCAAAATGCACGGATATTTCTCGGGTTTCATTGACTCGCTTCACCCTATACACAACTGGCGACAGTTGTGAGCAGATGGAATATGGTCCTCGCCACGGGAAGAACAGCTTCGGATTTGGTCCATCTATATCCTGGTGTGGTCGGTATACGAGTAATTGTTGACCAGGTTGAAAGACGGGGTACTGCGGTAACTTTTCGTTTTGCGCACCTAGCTTCTCTGCACGTTTCGTGAGGTTTCTTCGCGCTTGTTCGAAAGCAACTTGTAGATTTTCTCGTGTTTTTTTAGCAAAACTCGCGGTATCTGCAGTTGATCCTACATGTGGGATTCCGAGAATTACATCTACCGGTAACCGTTCTTGGCGTCCAAACATCAAGAAGTACGGTGTCTCATGCATGATTTTATTAAACGACGTATTATACTCTAGTTGAACCATTGGCAGGAGATCCGCCCAGTTGTCACGATTCACGGAGCTATGCATTGCGAGCATGGAATACATCGTTGAATGCACACGCTCAGATACCGAATTACCTTGCGGACGATACGGCGTCGTGCGTGTTTTCTTGTAGCCCAAGATTGTTTGCAACTGATAGATTATCTTGTTTCCGAATTCAGTGCCTTGATCAGAGTGCAGCATTTCAGGCGGGCCAAAGATACTGATAATCCGATCAATGATTACACGTGCTACCGTTTCAGCAGTTTTGCGTGGAACTGGTGTGAGAATTTCATCACGCGTCAAGTGGTCCATCATGGAAAGCACGTCTTTACATCTCACTCCGGACTGCTGACATTGAGAGTGATTTGTGCTCGACTAGGTCGACTGATACTCTTTCAAACGGCCGCTGTACAAGCACGTGACCCGTCGGCAGTTTCGGACGGCGGTGAGGTGTCTTTCTCCCTTGACAGGCCTGGCATTCCAGGCACCAAGTCCGGATGTGACGATTCATTGACTGCCACTGATATTTTTGTCGTATTTTTTTGTATCTTAATGCGAGGTGTCCACCTGAAAGAGCGTGATCATGGCATGCGTGCATCACTTAACCGGTGAGGTCATGTGGGACTACAAGTTGATCACTAAAAGTGCTTCGTTTTCGTAGGTGTCCTGGCAGATACGATTTAAACAGTATACCGTCTTGTATGGAATAGTACGACATTGACCTTGCCGTTTCGTTGTCTGGTAGCGGTGCTTTGGCGTCTAAAATTCATTGGACGTATTCGCCGTACTCGTCGGCTTGTTTCTCGCGCAATTTCTCATGCTTAACAGATTCAAATACTTCCGTGGCGCGGACGAAATTTGAATTGACTGCGAATAATTCCCTATCACTAAGGACTGGTTGCACATCATCCAATTTGTCAGTCGAGACTTGGTATGGTCTGTTTGGCATGTGTTGTTGCAGCTTTGGATCGTCCGGTACATGTCGGCAAATCGGTGCAATGTTCGGCGCAGTTCGTTCTTGTTCATTATCGAACACGAAAAGTCGCGATAACGTACCCGGCATTACATGCAACTTTCCCGGTTTATGTTTTACCGTGAAATCGAAGGATTGCAGTGCTATTGCCCATCTAGTGAGCATATTTGACGTGTCTTGCATCGTATAAAGATATCGCAATGCCGCATGATCAGTTACGCACGTAAAATGTCTACCCCATAAACAAGGACGCCAGTGTTAAATTGCTAGAACAACAGCATAGCATTCTTTCATGGTGGCAGGGTAGTGTTGTTGGCTTTTGTTGAATCGCTGGCTAGAGTATGCTAAGATATTCACGTCATCGCCATTCTGTTGTGCCAGGAATGCTCTTGCTCCCACTTCAGATGCGTCTACGTGGATAACAAACTCTTGAGACAAGTCCGGAAAATGCAAAACAGGAGCGTTGGTGAGTAATCGTTTCACTTCGGCAAATGCTTCATCATGTTTCGGACCCCAGCGTTTCGCTACCGACTTCACTGCGTCNCAGTACCGATTTTATCCGATCTTCACGTAAACGTATGCCATCTGCGGAAAGAATATGCCTCAAATACACTTCGTATGGCCCAAATTGTACCTTTGATGGTTTTAATATAAGACCTGCGGCTTGTAGCGCTTGAAAGGTAATATCCAAAAGAGAGATATGACCCTTCCATGTAGATGAACAACAAATAAGATCACCCATGTACACGAGAAGACCAGATTTTGGACCAGAATGTCCGAAAGTCAATGCCATCGTACGTTGAAACAGAAAAGGCGCATTGGCTATGCCAAAGGGGAGTCGTTTAAAAACCCATTTTCCGTCCCGAGTAACGAATGCAGTCTTGTCNGGGGTGAGTTTCCTGACATAGTTGACCGTTCCTAGGACTGATCGCAAACTTTTGATGTTTGTTGGCGTTGGCAACTCTAGTACCGATTTTATCCGATCTTCACGTAAACGTATGCCATCTGCGGAAAGAATATGCCTCAAATACACTTCGTATGGCCCAAATTGTACCTTTGATGGTTTTAATATAAGACCTGCGGCTTGTAGCGCTTGAAAGGTAATATCCAAAAGAGAGATATGACCCTTCCATGTAGATGAACAACAAATAAGATCACCCATGTACACGAGAAGACCAGATTTTGGACCAGAATGTCCGAAAGTCAATGCCATCGTACGTTGAAACAGAAAAGGCGCATTGGCTATGCCAAAGGGGAGTCGTTTAAAAACCCATTTTCCGTTCCTAGTCACGAATGCAGTCTTGTCTTGTTCCGCTTCGGCAATTGGTATTTGGTGGTATGCACTTTGTACATCGCAGACTGTGATGTACTTAGCACCTGCTACTGTGTCAAGATGATTTGCCATCTCAGGCATTGGCCACGATTTACGAGTTTAATTCTTGTTGATCGTCGCTCTGTAATCTACACAACATCGGGGACTGCCGTCAGCTTTTGCTACCAACGTTACTGCTGACCCCCATGGGCTCGCTCTTTGCTCGATTACCCTAGCTTCTTCCATTTCACCAACACATTTGTCAATAACCTCTTGTATTCGTGGATTTGCACGATATGGAGCTCTGTTGACTGGTTTTGTTCCTGGTTGCAATGGAAAATCAGTCTGTGAGAGTACGTTTGCCCAGTTCTTTAGGACTCAGGGAGAACACTGAACGGTATTTGGTACACAGTTAAAGTATTTCTTCACACTGGTCGGGCAAAAAAGTTGTATCTCTGAAAGCTTTGGCTAATGCCTTCTTGAGATGTGTACGGATTTTTTCCGTTTCTTCAGGGCTCACTTGAACGCTGCTCATTGTTTGTGGCAGTACTGTTTTCACTGGAGAAATATAGCCGAGAAGTGTATTTCTCTTCAGGGATACCGGTCTGCGAGAAGGGTTGGCCAGTTGTGTCATTGCACTTTTGTTGTGCTTATACCAGTGACAGACTGTGCGTGCTACTATCACCCTACGGAATGCATCTGGTGTATCCTGCTTGCCAACGTCATCGGACGTAACGATGCGTGGTTCAACTACGGCAGCTGTGGTTTCATCTGGCGCCTCAAGCGAATGAATTTTATTTCGACAGCTATTTCATGTTGTGCAGGTATGCTGCATTTCCGTGTAGTGTATACAGGCGCTGCAGGCGTGTCCCTCTCTACTGCTACCACAGAACGGTTCATACTGCTTTCCTGATCGGTCGTGGAATAGCGCGTTTTGCGGTGGACTGCTTGCTGGAATTTTGGTTGTTGTTGTTTTAAACGACAGTTCTTTCGCTTGCCAATCAAGAACACCAAATGCGCCCATTATGCTCTTGTCGAGTAGCATAATATCAGGTCCCAACGACGGTAGCACTAGCGCTTCAACAGGTAACGTGATTTCTCCTAGTGTCAGTTCAAATCGAGTGTACCCTGCAATTTTTAGGTGTGAACCGTCGGCGCTGCGCAAATTGATTGCTCCCGGGGGTACTGGAAATATTTTCGTGTTTTTCAACGTTTTGTGACTTCTCATATACTTCCGTGAAATGCATGGTATGTCACACGCCGTGTCGATTGTTTTATCATCAACCGATTCATTGTTTATTCTGGCGGGTACACGTACTCGCTTGGATGTCGATCGCAATACCGATTGACACACGTGATATCCAGCGAGTGCAGACATGTAAAAAGCATGAAATTCTTCATCATGGTCAGTTCTCATTAGGTTAGACCTATGTCTCGACCTGAAGTCCCCAGCTACGGTAGCTACGTGCAAGGCTTGCGGCGCTAAACAGGCGGCTACTTGCCTTACTTGGGTGCTATCCCCTAGTGCTGGATTTACAGCGGCTACTGCATCAGTTGTGCGGGTAGTTGACTTCGGGACTCCTCGCGTTTGCTTGCTGCTACAACCTTGGCGAGAATGTTCTCGTGGTACATGTACTTCAACTGTCTTTCTACAGCGCTGCTCTTTGACTGCTTTTCTTGTTGTTCCCACCAGAGATCGTACACCATTGTTACAGTGTTTTGAATCCCTCTCGTCTACTCTGGCTCTCTTCTGCTTGCTCGTGCTTTGCAGTCTATCCCAATTTGTACGTACTGGTTTGACAGAACACAATGATTGGTGTCCCACGTTGGCCGAGGGATGCTGCCTACTCGGGCAACCCTAGTTTTTCGTAACCGTGTACCCCTCATTATTAGCGGCTTGTTCGTTTTTGCACTCCGCGCGGGTGTGCGTAAAGCGAATGTTACTGAAACGACAACCAATGAAGTCACATTCCTTCTCATGTTTCGCGGTGTCGGGCTTGGCAGTGCCGGCGAACGATAATTTCGCCTTCACCCGCGCGGGAAGACCCCGGGATTTGGAATTATCCTTATCACGTTTGTCGGTCCCCCGCTGAGTACCCCCACCGCGTTGCGCGCCGTATGCTCCACCACTGGACACGAACGCTTCCTGCCCTGAAATATAGTTTTCAATGGCAGTGATGCGGCCCTTGTTGTCGTCCGGAGTGCTCTGGAGCTGCCCGAGGCGAGCAGAGCCGTATACGGTAGAGGCGGTAGCCGAGAGGGGGGCAGGGGGCGAGCGCAGTTTATTGGACTCGTGTCTACGAGCACGCGCTTATGACTCCATGAAAGAATCGGATGGACCTGCCGGCATCATCTCTACGCGAATGTGAGGGTGTACACCGTTTTCGAAAGACGCAGTGAGAGCTTGGTTGCAAGCGTGTTCATGAGGTGGTACATTCAGCGGAGCTGTGCGTTCAGCTTCGGCTAGAAGTCTGGCATACGCGCGTGATACTCTGAGCGCAAACAGGTCAACTGATTCGCTAGTCTTCGCTTCTAATGTCATGACATCACGTGCAAGAAGAGCAATCCGGTTGGCAGGAGCGAACGATGTGGTGAAAGCCGTGACCCATTCCTTCCATGGTTTCGGAGGTGTGATTCGGACCACATCCCCACGTGCACGCAACGCATTTAGCTGAGCTGGCGGTCGCCGTTCGAGAGATGAGCTAAGCATGAGGCTGAGACTTTGAGCTGCGGCACCTCGCACGAAGAGCGCGAGATGTTTGATTGCGCGGTGATCGATTGTGCTTTGAGAGACGTTGTCTGCAGACAACAGACCGATGTATGCCCTGTAAAGTACCCTTTTTTCGGGAACATCTTCGTGAGGCAGACCCTCGAGCTTGAGATCAGGAGGTAGATCAGTAGCTTTCAAAGTAAATCGTGCCGTGCTAATCACGTCCTGGTTAACCGTGGTTTGGGTTACCGGGGNATTGCCTGCAGACAACAGACCGATATGTGCCCTGTAAAGTGCCATTTTTTTGGGAACATCTTCGTGAGGCAGACCCTCGAGCTTGAGATCAGGAGGTAGGTCAGTAGCTTTCAAAGTACATCGCGCCGTGCTAATCACGTCCTGGTTTGCCGTGGTTTGGGTTACCGGTGTAGGGTTATCCTAGTTTACCGTTTGCTGGTTTACCTGGTTCGGTGAGGCCTGGTTTACCGTGTTGTGGTGTACCGGGTTGATAGGTGAAATTGTCGGTGTAGACATACTCCCAGAGGGGTCTGTTGAACACTTGCTATCGTGTGCATTCCAGAGCGAGTTTCTGCTTCTAGATCGGGGGCAGGCGAACGCGGATTCACCTTCTGGATGTCTTGCTGGTCAGCGGCTCCCGTCATAAGCATGCTAAGGACCCATGCTGGCGGGGCCTTCTCCGCCTCCACTGCCTTCGTGACCGCGCTGACGAGAACGGCCTCCAGCGGCCCGCCGCTTGCCAGGAGCGGTGCACTCTGTTGACTGGCGGCGTCAGCGCGGTTCTGCAGGATGTCGTGTGCAAGGTCGTCGTCGACGTTGTCGTCATCGTCATCGTCGTCGTCAGGGGGTGGGTCGGTGTCAAGGGTTTCGGTACCAGCCTTGACGCCGTCGCTAGCGCTGCTGTTGTTGTCGCTGTCGCGACCGTCACCGACCAGGGCGAGGAAATATCCGCGATGGTGACTGCTCTGCGAGGGTGCTACGCTCGCAGCCGCACCGGTGGATTCCCCAGCTTGGGCAGGCTTCGGCTGTCCCTCTTGGGGCTTAGCCGAGCCGTGGTTGGTAGTGGCAGCAGCGTCGGCACGCGGCGTTGCTGGCGGTTTGGGCGTCAGCTGCTTTAGCTTTTTCTGCTGTTGCTGCTGTTGTTGCGACCCTCCGTCCTTTTTCTTCCCTTGCTTCCTTGGATCGGAGCCCATATTTCACACGTGGGTTGCAAAGATAGAACGCTTCGTCGAAAGATGGGGCCCTCTACTCTGGGTGAGCGGAGAGTCCGGGGTTGTGGTGGCTATGTCCTGCCACCGGAGGTTGGCTATTTCCTTTGGTGCAATGTGGCGAGGAATGCCAGGCGTGACCGAGCGAACTCAGTCAAGCTAGGGTGGTGCGGAGAGTGGGCGAGCCTTCGTGGACTCATTTTCCCATTCTCCTAAAGATCCATCAACTCTTCGCAGCCGGTGGAGATCACAAGAGTTGTGGACCCTCGAAGAACAGTAACCTATTATCACATATTCCCTCATATCCTACTCTTTATGTACGTGTATCTGTGCTCCCTGAATCTCCATATCCTGACCTCCACATTGAAGACCTTGATCTCCCTCTCGGATGCTTGTTTCCATAAATTTGCTTCCGCGAGCTCCATGGCCTCTTCGAAGGTGTCAGGTACCTTGCTCGNGTGGAGATCACAAGAGTTGTGGACCCTCGAAGAACAGTAACCTATTATCACATATTCCCTCATATCCTACTCTTTATGTACGTGTATCTG